CCCTTCATCTTCATCACCCCTTCCAAACCAACAACCCATACCACAACCCCCCACACAAAACCACCGTCCCCAACCCACCCCTAAGTTCCCCCCAGAAAATCTCCAACCCACCTTTCCTCCTCCCTCCCCTCCCCGCTAGCCTCCCACTCTTCGCCGTACTAACACCACCAGCATCCTTATAACTCCCATAAATCCTCGGTTTATTAGCCCTCAACTCCTCATTCTCCGCGGCGATATTACTGCGTGTATGCGCTCTCGTGGTGCGAACAGCCGGGTTGTTATTACTTGTACTGCGGTCCGAGGACGTGGAAGAGTGTGAGGAGTGAGTTTCGTATTCCGAGGGAACCATGTATTGGGCTGTTGATTTTTCATGTTCGGCAGATGATATAGACGGGGATGTGTTGGTGGTGGGGAGGAGAGGAGGCTCAGGAGTCTCGGGGGTTGGCTGTAAGATGCCTGTGCCTAGGAGAGCGGCGCGGAGGGTTAAGAGTGTGACGGTAAGTCCGAAGAGGAGGCCGTATTTGAGAAACGTGCCGATTTGGTCGGGGAGAATGCAGAGTTTGGACTGGACTGTTTTGCTGGCGTCGCCGTTTTTGGGGTTGCCGTGCGAGTCGACGGGATTCCAGAGGGAGAGGAGCATGATGCCGGGGAGACGGACACCCATGGCCCAGCTGATGCTCTTGACGGTTATCTCGCGGATGCCGCCGCCAGCGCTTGTGTAGGCTTTGTGCAGTACCTCGCAGTAATCGTGGTCATCGCCCGAGAAGGCATAGCGGATGTCTCCGACCTTTTCAGCGATATCGGCTGTGATCTCGCGGTTGAGCACATTCTGGTACTGGTATCCGCCGCGCACGGAAATAGCATTGCGGTCGTCGTGTTCGAGAGGCGGTTGACCGGGTAGAGGAGGGGTTGGGGGCCAGTGTTCGCGGAGAGGACCACAGGGCGTGCCTGGCGGGCGGAAGAGTGGAACGTGTGAAAGGAGAATGGTTGGAAACTCAGTCACATCATCGTTTTCATGTGGGAGCTGAGACTTTGCCAAATCCTCCGCTTTAATATCATAATGAGGCATGCCCGAGTATGGCCTCAGGCCCTGCTGGGCGCGGAGTTCGCGTTGTACAAGCCGTCTCTTGCGCTTCTTTGCATCCTCGAGAAAGTCCTTTGTAGGTCGCCAGATGTTTTCCACTTGCTCTGGTGATTCCTGGCCCAGCGCACTCAGAGATACGCTGTCAATTGAGACAAACGTGTGGTTTGCAATGACATCGATCCTGTTCCCGTCGCCAAAATAGGCATTGAAGCGATTCCTGACCCCAATCTGAACACCTCTTGCGAATCCCAGGTCGTGGTTGCCAGGCAGACTGGTTATCAGCTTCCTCCCTGGCTGCCCCGGTCGTGGCTCCATGCCTCCATCGCCCCAATGTTTGAAAAACAAATCGCTAAAACGCATGTATTCCTTCTGCCAAAAGTCGTTGCCATATCTGCGGTACTGCTGCTCGGGCGAGGTAGTTGTGCGCGTCGACCACTCACGACCGCCGTCAAAGAGGTCGCCGAGGAAGAAGATGGTATCGGGGTAGAGAATGGTTTGGAAGCGCGAGTACGTTCGCCGTAGATAGAGGTCGGTGTACTTGTAAGCCAAGGGATTGAGAGGCCACGGGCGGCCAGGATACGTATGCGGGTCAATGAGCTGCGGGTCGGCGACAAAGATGAGCCTATGTGGGTTTGCGCCGGCTTCCTACAGGTCGCGGTCAGCTTTGCGCATTCCTTGTTCACCATTTGCACCATTTCCATACCCAGTCTTCCCACTTGTCCCAGTTGCAGCTCTCGATGGCGCTGTTGAAGACGCCTCGCTCACCCCAGTACAGGACAAACCACCACACCACAACGAGCGCATTCACCAGACTGAAAAGCTGGCTGGGACTCCAGGTAGAATTTCGTAGGGCATTCCGCTTCTCCTGCACTGCAGGGCGTATCCGGTACAAGTAGAATGCTCGAGCAAGCCTCCAGGCTTGGTATGTCAAACTCTCTGGCTCAGAGTATGCGCCGACGGGAACGCCATACTCGTCATATGTCGTCATTGTCTGATGGAAAAGAAGAGGAACGACTGGCGCAGCATCTTTGAATCAAGAGGGTGTGAGTGTGCAAAAAGTGGCTACGCTGTGGTAGTCATTGTACTTGGGAAATGCTCAAGGGGGGGGGGGGGTAACTCATGTGTGGCAATCGTGGTCTGGGTCTGGGGAAATTGCAGCCAGGGTCCAAGGGCCAGCTTGCGGTACCGCGGGCTGCCTCTATGCGGCCTACACCCAGATTTCACTATGCACGCACACTCAACAGCGCATATTCATCATGCTCAAGCAATTCGGAACGATTATGAACAGGCAAATGATATCATTTCAATAAGAACAGGCTATAAGTACAGACAGTATGTAATCCAACCTCTAGTATTCCAGAGTAACCTTTTGACCCTTGACACGTCCAATAACAATTTCGGGCGCATACTTGGGAATAACCTCATCGTCGTGCAGCATCTCGAACTCTTCCGACGCGTCCTTGCCCATGTGGCTAAAGAGCGCCTGGGGGCCGCCTGGGTGCTCGTCCGTCCAGTTGGTGACGTCCATGACAATGCCCTTTACGGCAATCCACAGATCGTCCTTCTTGTTGTGCTTGGCAACCTCCTCGAGCGTAAACTCCTTATCAGGGATAGTGAACTTTTGGGGCGCATTGGGCTTGGAAACCATGCCAGGGTCGCTCGAGTCGGCCTTGCTCGACATGACAGGTGCCGCCGACACCTGCTTCTGTTGTGCAACTGGGTCTGCCGAGCTGCTAACGCCGTTGCCCCACTCTACAGAAACCTTGCCAGGCTGCGACGGGTCAATGTGGAGCGAGATTTGACCGAGACGAGATACTGCAGCACCACCAGCATTGTTGAGCGCCTGTTGGAAGAGGTACTTGGATGCAGACTCTCCTGCTACGCGACCGTAGACAACGCAGCCGAGAAGTGATGAACCACCGAGACGGTTGGCGCCGTGCACACCGCCAGCAAGCTCACCGCAGACGTACAGACCCTCGAATGGCTCGCCGTTGGAGTTCAAGCACTGTGCCTGGTCGTTGATCTCAATACCACCCATGGTGAAGTGGAGCACAGGCTCCATCTGAGCAACGTGGAAGGTGTCGTTGATATCAAAGGGCAGGTTGTGGAAGTACTTCTTGTTCCACTCGTCCTTCTTCTCGCCCTTGGCGATCGAGTTGTAGCTCTGGAACTCGGCCTGGAGCTCCTTCTCGCTCACACCAATCTCCTTGGCCAGCTCCTTACCGGACATCTTCTTCATCAGGCCACGGCCAGAGTAATGCCTGGTGTGGAAGTCAAGAATGTTGGATGCCTTGGAGTTGAGCACGAGGCGGATGGGCCAGTTGCCCTTCTCCTTCTCGCCCCACATCATGCCGGAGACGTAGTCGCGGTGACCGAGGTCGTCGCAGAAGCGCTTGCCCTTGTTGTTAAGGAGGATACCGCCCTCACCACGGAGAGCTAGATGATGTTAGCGCATGTTTGTGAAGTATACCTGTGCGTGAACGTACCTTCGGCAGCCAGGAACTTGGTCTTGGCAGTGGGATCCTTGGGGTCTACCAGACCAGTGGGGTGGACCTGGACCTTGTCCATGTCAATGCCATTGGCACCGATCTTCATGAGCATCTTGTGTCCATCACCAGTGGCGTGAGCGCCGTTGGTGGTGGAGAGATCGTAGGTGTCTGGCCTCCACTTCTTGAGAAGGGAGTCTTCTGTGAAGTCGGCAGCGTAACCACCAGTGGCCAGGATGACGGGACCGTCGAGCGTAGTCTCCTCGCCGTTGAAGGTATATGTGACACCGGTAGCGCGGTTGCCCTCGGTGTTGACCTTGGTGACCTTGGCCTTCTTGACCAGCTGGACACGGTCGGGCTCTTGCTCGGCAAGCTCTTCGAATCGCTGCATCAGAGCATATGTGATGGCCATACCGGGGAACTTTGCGTCGTGACCACGGTGGGTTCGGGGCTGGGAGTGACCACTGGGGAGCTTGTCAGTATGTGCATGCCAGAGCTGGAGTGTCAGGGGAAAACGTACCCCAAGCGCGAGACCAGAGTCAGGTCGAGGTTGAAGACGTCCATCAGCCACTCAACGGCAGCGGCCGACTTGTAGGTGAGGACCTTGATCAAGTCTGGGCGAGCCTTGTCGCGCGCCGACTTGAGTGTGTCATCGTAGAACTGCTTGACGCTGTCGCCAATCTTTGCATCAACCTGCGTCCTGGTGAGGGCACCGTTGATTCCGGATGTGGCCTTGGTGGAGTTGCCTCCCATGAAGTCTGCGCCGAGTCAGCATCGGCGGCGCTCTTGAGATGGAAAACCGTGGCTTTGCGCAAAACTTACTGTTCTTGTCGAGGAGCACTACATTGCCTCCAGCAAGGTAGATGGTGTGGGCGGCGCTCAAGCCAGACACTGCGGGTCATGTCAGTCAGTCATGCGCATCATAGCAGCGAGGGCAGCGGGAATGCATACAGCCAGCACCGACGACAATGACTCTCTCGGGCATGATGATGGATCCAGATGAAGACAAGGAGAAAGACAGAAGATGAGGAGAGTCTGGAGAACAGAAGAGCAGAGGAAAAGTCTGGGGGAGCGGCTTCCACTTTGTATGCATGCAACTTGTGCCTCGGAAGTGGATAATACGCTAACCCGCATGCCCCGGTCGATGGCTGCGGGGCCAATTAGGAAGCGCGTGTTTGTACGTCAAAGCGCGAGCTTCAGCATCGCAACAGTTGCGCATACGTATGTTGATGCTATACTAAGTCGAGCCGATGTTTGACCTCCGTGCTCGTGTGGCATGTGAAGGTGCTGTGGATCGTGGCCAGCATCCACATGACAGATGAGCGGGCGGTGTGGTTGGTGGTTTCGCCCCGGCCCAGCGCGTCTCCTCAGTCTGGTAAGGCCGAGGAACTGGGTTGGAGGCTTGCATCAGGGAAACCTGGGGCAGGTCACGCGTCGGAACCGCCCAGCCGTCTGTCGGCATGTGAAGGTTGCCCAAGACACATGTTACTATGTCTGGTTGACTGTGGCAGACTCACGACACGCATGCATATTTCTTGCTGTGTGTCGCCCTCATCCTTTACCTTGCAATGCACCGCCATTCCATCTCTAAAATCTCACCATGCTGGTTTTGGCAACTGTCCCCGCAACGCCGCCATAGCCCGCTCGGCCTTTGCTCGTGTTATTCCCACGACAACCAGCGGGCCACATTGCCGTCTTTGGATTCCAGCACTCCACTTTCTTCCCATACCGACTTTTTTCTCTCTCTCCAAGCCGCCCCAATTCTAATGCGAACTCCTCTGCATGTGGCGTCTGCGTGTTCCTGAGTCCATGTCGTGGATTCTTAGCCGTTCCGTCGGCTTACCTCTTCCGGTCAAGCATCCAACTCTGCCCATCACAAAGACTATCTAGACACAGACCACGAGTATTCTCATCATAGACTTTGCAACTGCTCTAGTAATTCGTCCGTCTATACTATCTCATTGCACCACTGCCGACATTGCGTGATTCTCCAGCTCATGTCATTGGTGCCGTGTACTTATCTTGCCCGGATATTGCAGGAACCGGCCACGATGCTCGCTGGTCTCGACCGCAGAGAGCACAACCCATCTGACCGACTCTCGTCCATATTCCGCCATTAGCCGCCGTCTCAAAAGCCTCGCTCAGTGACACGCAACCGACTTGGTCGACGAAGACTCGCTGAACATGATGTATCCGACAAACGCACCAACGGCGACTGCAAGCATGATCCAACCGTTGTATGTCATGAACAGCAACCTGCAGCCAGTCAGCACTAACATCATATCACTTCCCGGGTCTATCCACTTACATGATGAAAAAGGAGTAAAACACCTGCACAGCATACAAGGCAGCCTTGATCATCTTGACCTGCTGCACGGTTCCACGCCCAGCGTTTCCATTTCTCCCTGGGCCAAGTAATGAGCTCGATTCATCTGTTCGTCCGCCATCTTCTTTGTGGCGCGCGCAAAAATACTCAGCAAGGGTTCCCACTCAAGGTCAAGGAAGTTGAAGAAAAGAGACCTCCCTAGTCTCCGACTTCCACGCTTGCGTCGTGCATATCGGGTAATTCACACAAACAACACACTGTGTGAAACAATCCTTGCACGGCTAAAAGGCGCCAGGGACAGCCTCTTTAAGGCTCTCATTCATCCACAAGAAAATGACATGTAGACTCACCTCGTGGTCCCTCCAGAAGGCCCTTTGCATAGCTTTCATATCGCCTCGACATCTCCCGTATGGCTTCGTATCCCGCCGTGAGAAGCACCACGGCCAGCAGCGAGAAGATGAGAGACCCCGTGCCTGAAATGTGCCATGAAGGAAACACGATGCAGAGGTCGGTCGTGTCCCAGGTAAACAGCATCTATTGATTTGTTTTTAACAGTGCTCGGTATAAGTAGAATAGCGACCAAAGCGCATCCACAGCCAGTCAGATGTGAAAAGAGCAGCTAGTTATCGTACATTCATGTTACACTTTGGTCCGTCGCCGCCCATGCCAGGCATGCCGTGGTCCATGTGGCCGTGGTCCATATGGCCGTGATCCATGTGTGAGTGGTCCATCGTGAGCTGCAAATATGGCAGTAGCAAAGAAATATGCCAAAGATTCTATCGTATGTATAAGGAAGAAACAGGGTCTCGCAAAGGTGATAGAAGGAGAGAAGGAAGCGTGGGAGCTGATGCTGATGACCTGTCACGAGACGTGCGGCGGTTTGAGGGAGTTTAGAGTGAGCACGCACGCGTCGCACCAGTGATCAATGCACAAGCCCGCGGTAAAAGCGGGGCCGAACGATAAGCTCATGCCCCACATGTAGACCCTACTAACGATTTGACTCTAGACTTTTGTATTCAAGACCTCGACATACCTTAGACTCGTAAGCAACCCCTCTTCGCCATTCCGAAACTCCACGACACTCCTGGGTATACAAGAAAAACCTCATATTTGACTGCGCGCACACGTCCACAATGACGACAACAATACGGTCATTGAGACCAGCTGCCGGGCTCATCCAAACCACATCGCGACGCATACCAAGCAGATCACAGTCTATACCGCGCATACAACGCTCCACACCAAGCGCATCGCGACCCATCTCAGCCACTACCAGCACCCCAATCGGCCCACCCTTGAACATTCCCAAATGGTACCTACCACCCACATCCCCCCACCAGCCTCGGAATCCAAAAAAAACAACCCCACTAACAATACCACGCGTGTACAGGGTCTCGGAAAACGCACACATGCTCAAGCCCCCAATAAACAACTACTGCGTCTACAACGACTCGGTAACCGTCATGATTGTCGGCGGCCCCAACCAACGCACAGACTACCACATCAACGAAACCCCCGAATGGTTCTACCAATACAAAGGCTCCATGCTCCTCAAAATCGTCGATGAAACACAGGCCCCCGGCAGCCAGTTCTGCGACATCCACATTCACGAGGGCGACATGTTTCTTTTACCACCAAACACGCCGCATAACCCCGTCAGGTTCAAGGATACGGTGGGCGTGGTGCTGGAGCAGAAGAGGCCGGAGGGGAGTTTGGATCGCCTGAGGTGGTATTGTCAGGAGTGTGGGGACAAGGTGTATGAGGAGGCTTTTCACTGTACGGATTTGGGCACGCAGATTAAGGAGGCGGTGAATGCGTTTAAAGCGGATGTGGGCAAGAGGACGTGTAGGAATTGTGGGACTGTGTGCGATACGGCGCCTAAATCAAAGGATTGAGTTGAATGGGATATGTGTACAAGATGTATGTATGAGTATGGGAAGAAGTTAACTTTTGTTCATGTAAATTACAGCCCTTTCCACATGATTTTGGATACATGGTCCGTCTTCTTTCGGCTTGGTTTGACGAGACCCAGATATCTGAGCTCAGCCAGCGCTCGTTGGAACAGTGCCCTAAAAACACATTAGCATCATCTTTGTGGAAATCACGAGGATAGCAAAGAAACTTACATGGTCTTCGCCTCATTCTCCTCAATTCCATCCCCCGCAATGGCATTAAACGCAGACCACAAATCGCTCACGTTGATCAAAGTCCCCGATTCAAGGTACATCTGATACACAATCGCCGTTGCTGGCTGCGTCGCCGAAAGCGCCGCCGCATTCCCATCTACACCGCTGCAGCACTCGCAGCCTAGATAGTCATGGGGAGACGCCAACGCACGTTCAACTGCGAACCGTGGTTTAGGCTGGAACACCTCCATATGCGGTGATTTCAAGTCGTACACTAGCACCTCTGCGAGAAATAGCGTCTTCGGATCGATAAACGAAGCGCTCAAGTACGCTTCGAGGTCGTCGTGGAACTGCGTTACGAGATCCGAATATGCTCTATCTTGTTCCGACAACGCGGCTTTGTGCTTGCTCAACAGCACTTTTTGCGCGACGATGGTAGTGCGCAGACTATCGTTGCGGACATCGTGCTGGGTGCGGAGAGGCGCGTCGGCGGTCTCGAGTAGGCTTTGTAGTTTTTGCTCGGAAGAAAGAATGTCCATGGTGAAGTAGGTGCCTACGAGATCTCGCAGTGACGCAAGTAGCTGCACCAGTTTATCTGATGGGATCTTCTTGATGGATAGCATTGTCTCGCGGATCAGAGGGGAACCAGCTAGCCCGCCAGCTGCGGCGCGGGTCCAGAGAGTCGAAAGCCGGACGTTGGGTGATAGTTGCAGTGATTCGCGCATGCTTGCCACAACTTTTGTAGCGTGGCTCAATGTAGCCATGGTCTGTTGACCGGATTTTAAACTCTGTGTAATTTCGTTGAAGAGATACTCGTCGTCTTCGAGCATTCTCCGCACATCTTGGGCGCGTCCATTGTCCAACATATCCTCTACCCGTTGCCGGAAAGACGGCAAGTTGCGCACAGCTTTAAAAGCATCTGCCGTCAAACCATCGATAGCAAGATCATCAGCGAGGAATATACTAGGCACACTGGCGTAGAAATGCGACATGTACGCGTACTTGAGCCCATCACAGAAATCTTGCGTATTCTGCACATGATCTTTCTGTCGATCGAGCATGCGGCGACAAATGGTGGGTCCAATATTCAGACCAATATCAGTGCTGGCAACGGTTGCACGGAAAAGTTTTTCAATAATCTCGTCTGACTGCGTCACATCAAACTTCTGGCCCTCGAGATAGCGTAGTGAGTTGCCCGACAGGCGTTCCTCAAAACTTTCTGCAGAAGTCGCAATACCAAAGAGTAGCACAAACGGAAGACGATCAAGCCATGAGCTGCAAGAGTCAGTACAATTGGCCGAAAGATCAGGCTTCACTTACTGCAGGAGATCAACCATATCTACAAGCAACCCAACATCGAAAGCCTCGCTATCCTGCAAAGCAATCACAATACTCGAAACCCGCGTTTTCTTATGCCATTCCTGGACATGACCAAGGTCGTAATTGAGCAGCTTCGGACCATACCTCGACGATGCAGAGGGCCGATCTACATCATCTTCATCATCATCGTCTACGCGCGAAGTCACCTTTTTGATAAGATTCTTCAGGAGCGTCTTGAGGTTTAGGCATTCACTCGAGGTCAGTACGACATAGGCGTTGTTCTCATCCCTGACTCTTCGGCCAAGACGTTCAAAAAAGGGTCCGTGAGATGCAATACTGGGCCCAGCAACAATGAGCGCCGTTGGTATGGCGAATTTGAGCTCATCAGGAGATGAACTTGCTGTGGAGACGAAATTGGCAATCTTTTCTTGAGTCGCGCTGTCGGAGTCTTCAAGTGTATTCTTCCATTTTTGTCAGATGCATAGGCGGAGAAAATAGTCGATAATTGTCGTCTTACTTGAATGCGCTCTTCTTGTTCTGTCCATAGACGTCGGTACGTTGCTAGCCGTTCTGGCAGCTGTGCCTGTGGATTGAATTTGCTCGTCCGTTGTCGCTTGGGCGCCCGATCTTGCGTCTGCGGGGGCTCATATATGTAACACCTTTGATGCTCCATGTTATGTTTGGTTGCAGTCACGGGGTTTCTCTGACTTGTTGATGTTGCTGACAGTGAATGGCTAGGGGCTGAGTTGGGAAAGCGCGACAATCGCGAAGCGCGTGAGCACGGGACTTGGTAAATGGTCAAAGCTCATCGGAAACGCCTTTCTGTACGAAAGACAAAGAAGACAGTTTAGGACACATGTGCTATTCCAACGAGAAATTAGATGGAGAATTAAAGGCAGGGGCTGATATTGCGCTATTCAGTGGTTTACATCGATGGCATTCCAATATGGTTCACCACGGCACCTTTGGCTAATGCAACAGCATGCAGCGTAGCCTTTAAACCTTCCTTATCATGACACTTAATATGCTCTTATTATGCATACTTGGTAGTTCCTGTCCTGCGATTGAGGTTTTCTGCTCTAAGTGAGTAATTTGTACAATCTGCATGGACTAAAAGCCATTGTTAGATAGACAATGGCTTGATCACTGGTCGCTGAGGTGCTTCCCACTCTAACATAGAGTGTAATGAGAGAGCATCTACTGCTGTACAAAGTATTCAATGCTCTACAATGCTAGCGCATTGTGTCGCTGTCGTCGCTCATGGGCTGAGCGAGATGCACTCTGCTTTCATACCTTTGAGCTCTGGTTCTATGTAAAGAACTTAACCCCCATAATTTACTTAGTCGTGATCTTCCTCGGTCACTCCAGGGCATCCGTCCATCTCTGGGTCTGGATACTCATACCCGCAATAGAGACAGTAACGATACTTATCGCGGAGGAAAAGCAGCAGCTTTTGGAGACGCTCTGCCACAGGCAAGGCCTCGAATTCGGCAAGTTCCGGATCTTCATCCTCGAGCTCGTTTTCAAGAGTCGTGTAGAAGGGCGCTAGGTCCTTACCCTGAGCTATCTTGGAGTCGTCATCTTCATTCTCAGGAGCTAGTGTAGGTAGTCGTGACGCAATGCTGTCATTCAGTTCTCGCCGCTGCTGTTTATCGCGCTTTGCCTCGACTCTTCGTCGCGCTCGTGCCCGCCAAAGAACATTGATATCCTTGAGCGGCTTCTCACTTGTGTCGCTAGCACCTTTGGCCTCTGCCTCTCTGTCTGCAAGTCGCTCAGCTGTCCTCTGCGCGTTATCCAAGTCTCTTTCGGCCTTCTTCTCTTTTTGCTCCTGTCGCATCACGTCGAGATAATCGCCCTCCTCTTCCTTTGCGCGTTTCGCGAGTCGGTCTGCCTCCTCGAATTGCTCTCTGAACTTGCGCTTCTTCTCTGACTCGAGGCCAATTCCTCCTCGATCATCTTTCAGGTTGACTCGTATCGGTTCTTTCCGCGCGTCCTCCGACTTTCCCAACGCATCGCCTTGTTTGAAACCGAATTTGGCCATCATTTTGAATCCCTTATTTGTCTCAGGGAGAGCAGTGGCTAGAGCAGCTTCTCGGGCAGCTTCAGCTTCTTCTTCACGCTCGGCCTTTGTCTTCTGTCGTGCTCTGGCTTCGCCCTGGTTGGTGGTTAGCCCGGCGCTGCGATATCCAAGTGGAATGACGTACCTCTTTGCGCTTGCGCGCGGCGCGCTGCAACGACGTTTCATACTTTGGACCTTTTGGCGCATCGTCAAACACCATGTTCATGTAATCATCTTCGTCGTCTGACTGTGCCATGGTTGTTGTGCCAAGATGCGGGATGTGGGCGAAGATGTTTTTGGTGGAGTCGCGTCGCGAGTCAATTCCGAAATAACCGCTCCAGCGACCCACCATAGGTAGCGCAACTTGGCGCACGCCACGGCGGGGAGATCCCCCAGACTTTTCTGTCTGGACGACACGTCTTCTATTGCTAGAATACTTGACTGCCGTTACCTCGTCACACAATTCAAACGCGGAGCCCGAAACTGTGTTGCAAGGGCATGTGAGGCGGTCAGAGCGGCATAGACTAGGCGTGTAACCTCCGACGTGCTATATTCATATAGTATAGCCGCTGTCAGCAAAAGAAAGCAAAAGGGTTCCAACAGCCAGGAACAGCAATCAACGCCACCCGCGTGACACGGGACGGACGATCCTTTGACAAGCCTTCTAGCTATTGGGCCGAGGATGTGCACGCGACAAGCATTACCGTTGCGAAACACGACTCGATCGTGACAAAACAATGATCTACCTACTTTTACAGACGAATCAACGCCCAACAGTGCCATTGAACCCTATCACTCGTTACAGCGCAAATGTCGCGGACCGGCATCTTGACAGCTACGGGTTCTGAGATGTTGCAGCACAGAGTCCCTTAATTACGGATCTAAAGATTGCATGTGAAGCCGCGGGATGTCGATCCTCCTCTACTGAGCAATAGTTTATCCAGAATAGCATGTTACCTGCTCGGTTGGGCTGTTTCCTTGTCTGCGAAGACGAGGCGCTGCATCCGAATACAGATTGACGGCCGGCCAGTCACTGCTGACATTGGCCACCTTTGTTAGGGGCCTCTCAGCCACTAGCTGCAACTAGAAAAGACCGTCAAAGATTAGTCCGGGGTAGATATTGTTCCTTCACGCTCCGGTCCACCCACGGCTTGCTCCAGTGTTCGCGTGCCACTCTGCTCAAGCATTTCGCGCTTTTCTAAGTACTCAGTCGAGCCACTACTCAAGGCTAAGGACGACTTGAGGTCTCTTGGTCTCCGTTCGTGCCACTAACCAGGAGTCTTTTCAGCTGTGTGCGACCCACACGCCGTTTACAATTGGAAAACAAATAGTAAAAAAAAGCATGCACCAATTGGCTGACCGCTTTGACAAGCCTACCTTGCCGGGGCTCCCGTTGCCTATGGAAGGGTGGCACACATCTCGGAGTATCACCACATAAGGCTACTCTCGGACCACCCGTCCTCTACGTCGAAGCCATTATGTGGCCCATTACGGATCGTACCCTTTTTGACATTACTCCGGCATGTCGTACTGTTGGTCCATCGCCAATTACAACCTCGCATGAGAGGGGTTCTCGGTTCATGCTGAGCATGTGCAAGTCTTTCCATCGCTCTCCAAGCCACGACATCTTTGCGATTCGCTTTCCCCGCATTCTGTTGCCATTTGTTTAGAAGATTGGATCACCCTGGTAAAGACACTCTTGTTCTATTTAACACCGGCTCGACTCTGCGCTCGTTGTATAGCTGCAAAGTTTGGCCATCTATCGCGTACCAGGGTACGTGAAGGCCCACAACAACCGACTTGTTCCTGGAAATATACCTGCACACCGTAGAGGAACTATCGAGATGGACGACAAGGGAGCATCGACACGCACAGATGGTGTATACACCACGCCCCAGAAGAGAGGTGGCGTGATGAACAAACTCTATCCACCAGGCGAGAAGCCAGGCGTGAAAGGGCGCATGAAGAACCACTGCAGAAAGTTCTGGTGGTGCGGTGAGCTGATCTCCGAGGATGACTTTAACTCGCGATTTGTTCTGACATGTGGTAGACCTTCTGGTATTTGCGATTATCGTATTGATCATCGTGTTGCCAGTCATTTACGTTGCTATACCAAAAATAGCACAACGCGAGATCAATGCTTCGACAATAGAGGTCCTCTCTCAAGAAGTCACCAATCCCCATCCAGATGGTATCCATCTGAAGCTCGACACTGTCATCAGGAGTGACAGCAACTACCACCCCAAGATCGATGGTTTCCGCGGTGCTCTATCAATTGCAGGACAAGAACCCTTCTTGTACATCGACATTCCCGAGGTGAAATCCAAGGCAGAGACACCCGTCACCGTTGACCAGGAACTCAAGTTTGCAAACAAAGATGCTTTTTCAAACTACACCAAGCTCGTCCTAGGCAGCGAGGAATTCTCACTCAATCTCGACGGCAAAACCAACATCCACCTCGGCAGCCTTCCCACCATGGACGTCAACTACAACAAGGTTGTCACAATGAAGGGTACGTGACACATTTCCCTTACCACAGAAAAGAAAAACTAACATAAACCCCTCAGGTCTCAACAGACTCGCCGGCCTCAACATCACCGACGTCAGCATCCTCTCGGGCGAGAAAATCCTCGACGACAACTCCAACCTCATCGCAAAAGTCAGCATCCCCAACCCCTCAGTCATGACCCTCGACCTTGGCAACGTAACCATGAATCTGGGCGTCGATGGCAAATCCATCGGCTACTGCCTCATCCCCAACGTCCTCCTCAAACCGGGCGCCAACACCTTCCCCCTCCAGAGCCGCGTCGACCAGATTTCCATCCTCGGGCTTATCCAGTCAAAGTACAGGAACGCCGTATTGCCGCTGCAGATTTCGGGAAATTCGAGTGTGAGGAATGGAGAGCACCTTGTGTATTATGAGGATGCGATTAAGAGTAATGTTATTAATCTGGATTTGAATGTTGGACCGGCGCTGGCGGCTGTGGGGATTAATATTACGAGTTTTGGGTCGGGTTAGATGGGGAAATGGGGAGGGGATGTGGTTGGTGGTAATGATTGGGAAGATGATTGGGGAGATGAGAGTGTGCTGGGAGGATAGTATAGTGAAGTGCTTGTGTGATATCCCATCGTTTGCAAACAAATATCATTCGTCAACATTGCTCTTTTTAGATTTTTTGAGTGATGCGTGCAGTATTCGTTGATCGTTTCCTAGCATCTCATTTACTATGAGAGCACAAATTTATACCACATATTTTCATGACCAGCCAATTCCCATAATATTCTCACCACACTCTCTCTAATTCTCATGGCAAATCGACGCCTCCTTACCCCTCAACCTCCCACTCATCTACAAAAAACTCCACGACATTTACCGCATCCCTTTCCCCCACTGCACTCTCCAGCTTCCTCATACTCCTCTCATCCCCCGCCGCAGCTGCAAGCGCCAACGACACAAGCTCCCTCAGACTCCCCACCACATCACTCAAAGCAATGACTTGGGCTTCATTCAAGGGTGGCTCGGTAGTGCAGTAAGGAAGGAGATCGTGGACCGTGTTGCCTGTGGCATGGTGCTGTTGGCGTAGAGACGGCGGTGGTGGGACTGGTAGAGACTGCACGATTGGAATGTTGCGAGCGCGAAGAGGTGGTTGGATACTGTGTTGTTGACGAGGATACGAGGGGGTACTGGATTGAGCAAAGTTTAGATTGCGAATGGAATGATGTGCATGATGGTATTCTGATCCACCGTCTATCTGGGGGAGAGTAGACGGTTTCGTGGGTTGGATGGTGGTACGAGAAATTTGTCTAGTTGAGGCTGTGGTCTTGTCTGCTTCGCGGGGAGAGAGTAGTGAGTGATGGTGGTGATATTGGGGTTGGTGTGATGAAGCCACTGTGGTAGTTTAACTATTGGTACATATGGGCTTCGGCTGGGGTAGTAAGTGGTGCTTACTTTGGCAGTTGTTGAACGAGCAGAATCTAGTTTGGAGCTGTACTACGCGCGGTGAGTGAATTTAGGAATGTAACTTGGAGTTGGAAAGTAGTCGTGTCATATGTCTGCTTACACATATTGGACGAATATCTGATTGACATTGTGATGAGAGCAGCGTTCTTGAGTCCGTGAATCAACGGAAGGAACGCAAGGTGAAGACAAAGGAGAAGGAGTGACTGACTTTCATCTACTCTTGGTCCGTCACAACCGCAAACTTTAACCTGGTTGTGTGGTATGCAAAGATCTAATCAGCGTCATCAACTAGATAAGGCTCCATGATGACAATAGGTAAGTGTTTGATATTGATACATCTAGTTTGACTCTATCCTTTATACATGCCAATTTTGGCTGAAGAATATCTTGAACCCACAAGTAATATTACCTTTCTGAATTTATACCTGATACGAACCAGATCAGACCTCCAAGAAGCAATACCAAATGTGAATACATAGTGCCTACCCCCCCCCCCCCCCTTTTTTTTTAAGAAAAAAAAGCACACGCCTACGTCCGCAACCGGAAGGGTATCATGAGAGGAGAGTATGAAAATGATAAGAGAAGGTTTAGGCTGTCATGGTCAGGTCTCTCGTGTGTGCATTCCCAATTCTTTTGGTTGCGAGGCCTTGTCTGCTGGTTGCTGTTTGGTAGTTTGGCTCTCAGCCTGAACTGCTGAATCGACGGTGATTGTGGTGCCAGTAGACGCGGACTTTGCGGCTTTTGCAGGTTCAGCTCCCTTGTCCTCAGCTCGCCCCTTCCAAAAGCCCAACAGCTTGGAAGACGTGGGCTCAGGATGTTTTGCTTTGAATTTCTCAAGTTCTGCTTTGACAGCCCTCAGTTCAGCCTGCACCTCCTCTAGGTCTTCCCTAATATCGTCTCTGGCGTTCTTGGCTTTTCTCCTTTGCCTCCACTGCTCCACGAGGATTACTGCAATACCGACAGCGAAGATGAAGGATTCAGCGACAAAGTTTGCGCCCATCTCAATGGCCTTTTGTTCGGAGAGAGGCCGAATGCGGGGTCTGGCCCTTTCTTCTGCCTTCTTCTTGATCGCTTCCCGCTCCCTCTCTGTAAGCGTTTCCTCCGCCTTGGTCTGCTCCTCAGTCAAGACGGTGGGCGCGGCCGCCTCCTTCCGCCTGGCCTCTGCCAAGGCGACTTCCTTTTTGATCTGCCGATCGATGACGGCGGGGTCTTGAAGGAGGCCTAGGCGCATACGCATGTCGACGCGGTGCAGGCCTTGGGCAAATTTGACGCATATTCGGCGAAAGCGTTCGTGCTCATGGGCATTGCGTTTTATCGCATTCTAGCTGGGGTGAGTAGCAATTTCAGAGACGGAACGGCGCATGAACATACTGCTACAGGCTTCGCAAGCGTCCTGACGAACAGCGAGGTGACTTTGAGGGTGAGGGACATGTTCGGTCACAACTGTGCTGCGGCTACCTAGAATGTGGATATGTACAGGCAATTGATGAGCGAACGGGGGTTCATTGCCGGCTCTACAGAGACGAAGACATATCCAAGGTTGGACGACAGCCTTTGATGGTCATGTATGCTCGTGGTGGTTGATCATCGTTTGGAGCCGAATGTTGGATTTGCAGTTGCCTGACGACCGCCCGCACCTCATCGATCCGATCCACAGACGCCGAACAACAAGGCCCGACCAGACGATGCGGAGCAACAACAAAATACTATCCAATGCACTAGAGCCACATGGTCACACGACAACTAGCTCGAATCCGGCACTGGCACTGGCTACAGACTCTGGCGAGATGTATGTACTATGTATGTATCAGGCCAAAGGTTATGCACGCAGCAGTGCAGCAGTGCACGGTTCGGGAAGTACCCCCATGGCCCTAGCAACGGCGCTAAGCCGCTGCGTGTTTACGACCATCAACACTGCGACTTTGATTTCATCATCCTCACACTCCATCGCCAATGTCTGCCTCAACGATACACGCAGATGCCCCGCCGGCTGTGGTGCAGGACCCCGAAGGCCTTCAGTATGAGACGGGTGGGCAGCTCGGCAAAGGTGGCTTCGCCATATGCCATCGCGCGAAGCTGCTGGGCCACGAGCACCTCGGCAGCAGCACCGTCGCTTTGAAAATCGTCAAATCCAAAATGGAGCCTCCCAAGCTGGCGCAAAAGGTGTAGCAGACTTCGAGGGCAAAGATGCGACCCGCGCTAACACCGCCTGCAGTTTGTGACCGAGCTCCAGATCCACTCGAAGCTATCCCATCCCAACATTGTCGAGTTCTTCCGCGCCTTCTCCTTCGAGGCGAGCACCTATGTTGTTCTCGAGCTGGCCGAGAACGGCTCGCTGGCTGATGCGATCAAGAAGCGCAAATACTTCACCATGCCCGAGATCCGGCGGTTTATGATCCAGACATGCGGTGCCATCAAGTACCTGCACCAGCGCAACATCGTGCATCGCGATCTCAAGACCGGCAACTTGTTTCTTGACCGCGACATGAATGTTAAGGTCGGCGACTTTGGCCTCGCCGCGCTATTGGTGTCACAGAGCGACTATGGGGCGATCCGTCGAACAACCATGTGCGGCACACCCAACTACCTTGCCCCAGAAGTCCTCGAGAAGACTGGAAAGGGCCACGACGAGAAGGTTGATCTGTGGGCCATCGGAATCATGATGTACACACTCGCCGTAGGCAGGGCGCCGTTCCATGCTGCGAAGCGCGAAGACATTTACCGAAAACTAAAGGCTCGCGAATACACCTGGCCAGATCTTGCAAAGTTCGCAAACGAGATTACCGACGACCTGCGCGACATTGTTTCTCTACTGCTCGTACACGAGGATGAGCGACCAACTCCCGACCAGATCGTTGCGCATCCATTTTTCAAGCTAGGCTATATCCCACTAGAGCTCGATAGCGGCTGTACCTCGAGGATTCCAAAATGGCCCAAGAACCGCCCACCGACTGCTTCGACAATCAGACGCGGATACACGGAAGAATGGTGGCAGCTTTGCAAATCATCTGCTGTTGGTGAATACGAGCCCGGAAAGTCGTTCGGAGCGTACGGCCGCAGGTCGAACAAGACAGTAGCACGAGACTGCCAAAAGGAAATTGAAGCTGGCAAGCAGCCCAATATTCCATTTGCGAAGGACGTCGTATATGTGCCTTTCCCAGCGCGTGTGCAATGGCCTCACCAAGCTCCTGGGGGGCTGAGCGAGATTTCAGAGGAGAAGGAATCATCATCAGAAGGTCACGCACTTTCGGAAACTACTGGCAATGACCGAGTCAAAGCCCGTGTACCCAGAGCTTCAAGGAGAGAGCAACCACCAGTACAGACACTCAAGGAGAATACAGACCCAGACCAAGAACCCGAACAAGCACACCGAATTTTGGATAAGCAACCCACTCGACTCAGGGCGGTTCGCAAGATATCGAATCCTGGTCGCGTGACAGCAAACACAGCGACAGCACCTGCCCCATTACGCGTTCCTCGTGAGGCACGGGCGTCAACTCGTTCGAGGGCGGTGAAAGAACCCACTAAGGAAACGTCAAAGACCAGCTCAACAGGACTTCCCGATCTTCCGCCACTACGAGTCGTTAAAGCAAGCACTCGGGAGAGCGAGAAATCAGAGCCGTTGTCTCAATCATTGGGTTCGCGAAGCGCTCCTCGTTACCGCACCATTGGCTCGGATATGCCTTCAACGGACCCAGTAGCAGTATTGGCGCGTCTGATGACATTCCGAGACAACCTCGAGAGAGTGCTAGACAAGAAGCCGACCAAGTCGAGGCGCGAACAGCCACCAAAATTGCCATTCGTCGCAAAGTGGGTAGACTACAGCCGACGATATGGTGTTGGATATGTTCTCAGCGACGGCAGCATTGGAACGCTGTTGTCGGCCGAGGAGCAGTACCCGGTTACGATTGCATTTGCGACTGACGGATACAATCATCTCCGGAAAGCCGGAGGCAACCGAGAAATGGCTAAAAGCGTGGCGCTGAACTACTACACGACTGTTAAGAGGGATCGAGGACTGTCGCAAATCGAAGTGCTTGATTCGCGACGCGTCGAAGAGATCCGGACAGTGTGGCATAAATTTGGAAAGTACATGTGCGCAACGTTTGGCGACGAGGAGAAGCCTCTGAGGAAAGATCCACGCGTCAACTTTGTCCGGTTCTACCAGCGACTAGGCAATGTGGGAATCTGGGGGTTCGACGATGGGTCGTTCCAGGTAAGCACTTTTTTTGGCAATCATTCCTCGAGCCAAACTAACAGTTAGCAGTTCAACTTCCCCGATCACACTAAGCTTGTTCTTTCGTCAGATGCTGGGTATGGACACTTTTTGTGCCTGCCACTTGACGCAACGTCTCTTCTCGAGGAAACCGGCAGCGTACCGTGGAGACACGTGAAGGCCCGTGCTAATCTGCGAGGCTCTCTGCAACAGCTTTTGTATGGCTCAGCAGACAAAGAAGACAGCTACAAGGAGCTGACGGAAAGCAATCTGCTGCGGGCGAAGATTGAATTCATCTACGCCGTGGTTGTGGAATGGTGCCAGCAAGGAGGGCTCGGGTGCCTGGCCGACCCCAAGATGTACTCATGGGGCGGACCTCAACTCGAGGAATCTAGACGGTTAGACTGGGCGAGTGTCGGGCGTTTTGGAGGCGATGTTTTCTCATGATGACTGAACGACTACTTCTTTGGCGGGCAAGCGACGGCGTTGTACTATGTTGTGGAGTTGTTCTTTTTTTGTTTTTGGATATATTTTTACAAGGACGATTGGCATTTGAAATGGGCTGGAGTTGCGCTGGGCCTAGGGCTCGCCTTTGTTTGGACGCTCATTTATGACGGGTTGCATATCCAGGGGCGTTGGGGTGTGGTAGTGTTGAAGAATGATGATTCGATTGCAGAGTGCCTATGTTGATTCGATTGCTGGTGCCAATGTTGATGCCTAAGGCGTGACGGAGCGACACGTAAGCGGCCATATGTGTACGCGGCGGAGTGGTGGGCGAGAACAGCAGGCAGCAGGGCTGGCGAGGCGGCCCAATGGAGAGAAGTGCAGAGTGTGCTGGCCCCGTTCACCCAGGCACAGAGGCGAGGAGGGTGTACGTGCAATGCATGTGTGGTGTGTGTATGTATGTACGTACATATGTACGTAGTAGTGTAGTTCAATGCACCCAAGGCAACTATGCCGCCGCCGCCCTATGCTTGCGCGTCCGGCAATTGGCTGTGGCTGTGCTGGGGCGAGACGATTCCGACGAGCCCGATTGAAGGCTTGCCTTGTCCTGGCCGGTCCCTCTCTGACGTTGGTCTCCGTCTTCGAGATCACCGCGGCCAACTCAGCACACCCACCCTTTTGAGCGGCCGCTCCTCACCCTCCGAAACTACCTCTGAGCTTCTGGCCCTTGACGCCTATTGACATCATCTCTGCCGTATCCCGCGCGCAGTAAGACACACACTTCCCCCCACCGCTGGCCGACTGTAGCTACCAGTCGCAGCTCGAGATCGGGCATCAACCATGGTACTCGCCAAAAAACCTCCTCTATACAAACGACACTCGGCTAATGCATGCGTTGTGTAGGGGAAAACCAACCGCGCAGCGCGCAAGGCCGTTGGTGGCCAGCCCGCCGCGAGGGCTGCCCCCAAGGCCCAGTTCGCAACAAAGGCCGTCTTCGAGACGACCAAGAAGAAGGAAGTCGGAGTCTCAGATCTGACCCTGATCAGTAAAATCTCAAACGAAGCCATCAACGACAACCTGAAGAAGCGATTCGAGAATGGCGAGATATACGTGCGTTGACCCGCCTGCCCCGACCCCGCGCCGCATACACATGCACTCACATACACACACGCATATCACCACACTAGCACACCGACTGACAATGGGCGCAGACATATATCGGACACGTACTGGTGTCTGTCAATCCCTTCCGCGACTGTACGAAGACTCTGCATGCGCTTGCACAAGACAGATGCTAACAGCTGGCAGTGGGCATATACACCGACCAGGTGCTCGAGGGCTACAAGGGCAAGAACAGGCTCGAGGTGCGGCGCATACTGACAGCAACTCCCCAGTACTCCTACAGCTGACCGAGCATAGGTTCCACCTCACGTTTTCGCAATCGCCGAGTCTGCCTACTACAACATGAACGCATACAAAGAAAACCAGTGTGTCATCATCTCCGGCGAGTCGGGAGCAGGAAAGACAGAGGCCGCTAAGCGGCTCATGCAGTACATTGCAAACGTATCCGGCGGAAGCAACTCGTCCATTCAAGAAATCAAGGACATGGTGCTGGCCACTAACCCCCTCCTCGAATCCTTTGGAAACGCAAAGACACTGAGGAACAACAACTCGTCGCGGTTCGGAAAGTACCTCGAGATCCACTTCAATGCGCAGGGAGAGCCGGTCGGAGCAAACATCAACAACTACCTACTCGAGAAGACTCGCGTGGTGGGGCAGATTGCAAACGAGCGAAACTTCCATATCTTCTACCAGTTCACAAAGGCTGCTTCAGCAAACTACAGAGGTAAGGTGTGCACATGCCCAATGCAATGAGTCTGCGCTAAGACATGTAGAAATCTTTGGTCTGCAACAACCACAAGCCTACGTGTACACTAGTCGGTCAAAGTGCTTCGATGTCCCGGGAATCGATGACAACGCCGAGTTCAACGACACTCTCAATGCCATGAAAGTTATTGGATTGCCACAGGCGGAACAGGATAACATTTTCCGAATGCTTGCAGCTATCCTCTGGTTAGGAAACGTATCTTTCCGAGAAGACGACCAGGGCAATGC